ACATCTCCCACTGGGGATGTGCCCGCAACCCAGGTACATGCCCTTGACCGGAATCGAACCTGGGACCTTTCAGCCCGCTGGCCGACGCTCTATCCACTGAGCCAAACCGGTTTCGGCCCAATTTTGTTTTTTAAATATTTTTTTTTTTATTGATTGCAGAGAGAAAGGGAGAGGGAGGGAGGGAGAGAGACAAACATTAATGATGAGAGAGAATCATTGATTGGCTGCCTGCTGTACTCAAGCCCGCAACCTGGGTACGTGCCTTGACTGGGAATTGAACTGTGACCCCCTGGTTCATAGGTTGACGCTCAACCACTGAGCCATGCCAGCTGGGCTAGTTTGTTGTTTTAATGAGAAAGGATGGTTTAGTAGGGAGACAGATGTGTAAACAAAAATGTGCAAATTGTTACAAAAGTATATACAAGATTAATGAGTAGTATAAAGCAACAGTAGGATTAATTCTCCAGGTGGGGATCAGAAAAGCTTCACAGAGGAAATGATTGGTTGATCTGGGTCTTATGGACAAAGAAGTTCACTAAACAAACCGCCAAGGCAGAGGAACAACTTTACCAAAGCATGGAAATTATATAACATTATAAATATTACTCTGTGCTTACTCTACTCTCAGATACTGTTCTAAGAGTTTTTACAGGCATTAGCCCATCTAATATTGTTAACAATATTTAAAAGTGTATGCAGAGAAACCAAGATGGTGGCATAAGTAAACACTGGAAATTGCTGCCTCGCACAACCACTTCAAAAGTACAACTAAAAGACAAAACGGACATCGTCCAGAACCACAGGAAGGCTGGCTGAGTGGAAATTCTACAGCTAGAAGGAAAGAGAAAAAAAGCACACTGAGACTCAGAGGAGGTGCGGAAATAATCTGATGAACAAAAATCTGAGTGGAAATAAATGACATAGAAACGAAACAAAACGAAACAAAAATAAAAAAACAAAAACAAAAAAAAACGTAAAAAAAAAAAAAGAGGAACAACTGTAATAATCTGAACAATAAAGATTTAATTAAAAATAAAAGTGTATGCAATGTCACCAGTTAGGTACCACTGTTTGCAAGAGACCTAAAATAACAGTGGCTTCAACAGAGTAATTTTTAATTTTTTTCTTTCTCTACAAAACCTCAGGGTCCCAGACTCCTTTTAGCCAACTACTCTAGAAGCTAGTTGTGGCCTTCATCCTCATGGTTCAGGATGTTGGTTACATCTCATTACCCCAACATAATCTTATAACAATAAATAATTGTAAAATACTCTGGGAAATACAGTCTTTATTCTGGGCATCATTTCCCCACCTAAAATTTGGGGGTTCTATAACTATGAAAAAGGAGAACGGGATCATTTCTTTAGGCTGATGAATTAGGCATAGAGTGAAAGAATTGAAGAGTAATGGGCTATAAAATGGTATGATTTTAATTCTGACTACATGATCAAAAAAGCTAATGGGAAGTAAAATGCATAAAACCCAGGTAGCACTAAAGTGCAGAAGACATAATGTATAAGTAATCTCAAAGCTAGATAAGTGAGAGTTGGTTGCAGATCTGAGAGATGGATTTACTAATGGGCCAGTAATTTAATAGTAAATTGATTCATTTTGACATTGCTGATTGCAGTGGCAGAAGATTACATAAAATTAGCCAAAGGACAACAAAAATCATCGGACACATTTTTCAGTTTCTCCTTTTAATTTTTATCATTGTCTATCTTTCCTCTAAACAATATTCCAATAAAGATAGAATAGTTTGCATCTAATGCACACTGATTAAAGTAAAATAATGCAAGTTAATTATTACCTCACAAATATCTTATTTATTTGATTTGATGTTAAAATGAAAAATATATCTTTTAATTTTTTCCATATTTACATTTTTTGAAATATATTTTTATTGATTTCAGAAAGGGAGAGAGAAAAGGAAAGAAGGAAGGAAGGAAGGAAGGGAGGAAGGAAGGAAGGAAGGAAGGAAAGAAGGAAGAAGGAAGGAAGGAAGGAAGGAAGGAAAGAAGGAAGAAGGAAGGAAGGAAGGAAGGAAGGAAAGAAGGAAGAAGGAAGGAAGGAAGGAAGGAAGGACCAATGATGAGAGAAAATCATTGATCGGCTGCCTCCTGCATGCTCCCCACTGGGGATTGAGCCCGCAACCTGGGACCCGGGAATGTGCCCTGATCATGACCTCCTGGTTCATAGGTCAATGCTCAACCACTGAATCACACCGGCCGGGCAAAATGAGATATATTTTGAAGTAACATATACACATAACTGAAATCAAGTAGTACCTGCAGAACAACTATTCATCAACCCAACCTACTTTTTGTACCCTGCTCTGAACCCATGTGCTCCAGGGGAGCGTATGTTATCTTCAGCCCCACAGGCAGTGAATCATGATTGGGCCAGTTGGTAGTGATCGAATTTTTCTTGCTCATGACTATTTTAGGCAGAGGCACAAGCAAAGAAACAGTCCCTTTTCCATTGGACTTTGGTGAGTGTGAATATGATCACTGGCTGATTGCAGTTATCTTGTGAACTTGACGCTGACAAGATAAAGATTGGCAGAGCAGAAAACTGGCAAGAATTTGCATTCTTGTTAACAATCAAACCCTAGAACACTTCTGAACTTCTGTGAGGTAATATGTTCCTCATTTGGTTAATTTGAATTGAGCTGTTATTTGCAACCAAAGTATCCTGATATTCTACCACAAGGTTGTATTCTACCAAAAGGTCAAAGAACAATAAAAACAGCAGTCCCCCATCCTCCTCCTCTTCCGCCTTTCTATCTTCTGAGAGAGAGGTAGTGAGGGGGGAGGAGGACCACTTTTAATTCTTAGCTGTTTTTCTTAGATGCTTTTAAATAACATGCTTATATTGCTATGTTCTTGATTTATCCATAGAAAGAATGCTGACTTTATACTATGGAAGATGAAAATTACGCATCTGCACCTTTCCTTTCCCTGCTTGCAATATAGTTTTACAACTTTTGATAAAATACATACTGTGTTTACATTTCTTACACAATTCTTTACCCCTTGGAGTTAAAATTATTCCCCACCCCCTTTCCTTTGCATGTTTCTATTATTAGTTCTCAAATTCTCCAAGTTATACTATCCTATCAAAATAACTTTTTCTTATTGAAATTTTTGTCATGTCTTCTCTTTCTCTCCTCCCTCTCTCATCCTCTCTCCCTCTTTTATTTCTAAACCCACTTCCATTCCCTTCTTCCCCCATACCAGGCAACAACTCTATGGTGATTAATATGTATAATTGCACATTCTTGCAAAACAAACTTTTGTATATTTTAAATTTATATAAATGGCTTTCCCCACACATGCATTCTGTTTCTCACTGTTTTCATTGGGCACTGTTTTTTCATGATCAAGCCATATGGTTAAAATGGACCTCTGTGGCCCTAACCAGTTTGGCTCAGTGGCTAGAGCGCCAGCCTGCGGACTCAAGGGTCCCAGGTTCGATTCCGGTCAAGGGCATGTACCTTGGTTGCGGGCACATCCCCAGTAGAGGGTGTGCAGAAGGCAGCTGATCGGTGTTTCTCTCTCATCGATGTTTCTAACTCTCTATCCTTCTCCCCTTCCCCTCTGTAAAAAAACCAATAAAATATATATATTTTTAAAAAGTGGACCTCTGTGGTTTCTAAGGAACTACTGCAGAATACTGAATTGTGTACATCCACCACATTTTTACGTAACCTATCTCCCATGCATGGATATCCAGGTTATCTCCAACTCCATAACATTATAATGCTCAATAATGCCCTGCACATGCCTGGGGTTGCAGGTTTGATCCCAGTGTGGGGCTTGCAGGAGGCAATCAATCAATGCTTCTCTCACATCATTGATGTTTCTATCTCTCACTCTCCTTCTCTGAAATCAGTAATATATATATTTTTAAAAAGCTGTATAAGAAGTTTGAAGTTTTGTATGTCTGCAATTATTTAACTTCACACTTGAGGACACTTTGACCAGTCACAGAATTATAGATTGGAAAAGCAAATACCTCCCAAAACCCCAATCTCCAGTTCAGCCAATGAGTTTGATGAGCAATGAATACTCTGTGATAAAAATTTAGTCCAAATAAATTCAGTTCCTGAATTTGAGAGTAAGTAGGAAATGTTCACTTAGCAAGGGATGTTTCAAAATCTATAATAATAAAAACGTAATATGCTAATTAGACTGGATGTCCTTCCGGATGAAGCTGGGGCTGCGAGGGAAGCCCGGGTCCCGGGTGCCAGAGAGAAGCCGGTGCTGGCAGCCGGGGGAAGGAAGGCCTCCTCTTGCATGATTTTCGTGCATCGGGCCTCTACTTTATTATAATCTACTTGCTCAGGAGTTTGCAGAGGGTAGTAAGTTCAGGTAGCAGGAATTTGTCCTCAGAACTTTAAAGGCCTTGTCCATCATTGTCATCCTGATTTGCTAATAAAGTGTCTAACATTATTCTTGTTCCTAGGTGATTGTTTTTCCCCACTCTTTGGAAACTTTCAAGGTTTTCTCTTTATTTTTATAGTTCTGAAACTTCATAGTGCTATGCCTTGGTGTGGGTTTTTTCATTCATTACACTTACCACTCTGTTGGGCCTTTCAATCTGAAGAGTGAGGTTCTAGAATAGCCTCTGGTATTACTTCATTTTAATAATCCCTTCCCCTTTTAAAGCTTTTTGTTTTGATTTTGGGCATGTGCCCTGACCAGGAATCAGGGACCTCCTGGTTCATAGGTCGACCCTCAACCACCGAGCCAGCAACATTTGTACTTCTCATGACAATATTTCTAATGCAAAAAATAAAATATTCTAAAAATACTGTTGCAAATAATTTAATCTATAAAGATATTTTTATTTTTAATTAAGCATAGTAAGAGATAGCAAACCTTTACAGAAATTAACTTTATAATTAAGATTCTTTCAGCAGCAGCAAACAAAAATTCAGGTTTAAAATGATGAATGAAACACTATGGAAGAAAATTTTATCACAAAATATTAGGGTATTTTGAAATAAAAAGCCATTCTGCTGTCATACTTTTATTTTTGTAGATTCACTTTGAGTCTCAAAATGAATTTTACAAAATAATTTCCTTTTCATCAGTGAAATACCTGTCACTGTTAAACCTACAATATTTAAGTACAGATGCAAATATTTACTAAGCATTTTCATTAAATAGACGTCAAATCATTTTATTTTTATTTAGACTCATTAGAATATTTATTTTAAATACTCCAAGGTAACCTTTGTGTATTAGGCAAGTAGGAGCTACTCAAATGAAAAAAAGTCTCATTTGTTTTGTAAATAATAAAGATTTAAAATGTAAAAAATTGAGCTTAAAAAAACAGCCCAAACCACCTGTTTTTTTAAGTAACACCAGCCATCTACTTCTAAAAAGTTCTTATCAAAGCTATTTTTTAAAACCCAACATTTACTAACTCAACAGATGGGTTTTAGAAATGAGGAAAGTAATTTTACTTTCAATTCACTGATTACATAGTCAAATGGTGCCTTTAAAAAATAATTTTAGAATACGTGAAGATTGAATTAAACCATTCTCAACATTTTTCCAGGACTGTTTGCTAACTGGCTTGTTTTTACATATGAACTTTAAACATGTCTTCCTCAGGTAGTACACAAAAATAATTATTTGCAACTATAAAATCTAACAAGTAAACTCTCAATGTAATATCACTGCTTTTTCCTTCTCTGGTAAGAATCGTTACTGTGAGTTCGAACTCGCTGGTACACAGAGGATGCTATTTTCATGTTGTCTTTCTTTGTAAATTTCTTCTCTATTGCTCCTGGTTTCCAAAGTAACAACTGTGCATCTTCTCCTCCAGTCAGCAGAGAATCATCCTGCATATTCCAAAAGAAAGAGCGGACTGTAGCAGCATGCCCTCCCAGAAGGCTGGTCACATGGCTCAATCCTGATGTAGTACAGCTCATTAAGTGAATAACTCCTGTGTTTGTTCCTCCAACAATAAATAATTTGTCCATCTTTTCATGATATAGGCCACCAATCAAATAGTCCAAAACACCTCCTTTCAAATTCATTACTTCTCTGACATCCTGGATGTTCAAACATGTAATTGGTTCATCAGTATCCAGATGATTAAGATCCCACCAATAAAACCCTTCATCATGTGTCATGCAGTATATCTGTTTATAATCTTTCCCAGACCAACCAATATAGCTAACTGATGAAACTGAGTTACAAGTTGTAACCAGTGCATCTTCTTCATTATCAGCACTAATATCAAATACATTTACCAGGCCATCTGTGGAACCTGAGACTACCATGTTGGGATTGCTGGGATGGAAACATACTTGAGTGATATCATCACTATGTGTTTCTGAGTATGCACCAAGTGGGTCTTTAGTAGTAGACACATCTTGAGAATTAATTCTTGCATCCCAAAATACCAACAATGCATCATCATCAACTTTTTCTGTACCAGCACAAATGACATGATCATTACAGCTGATATCAAAACTGATAAATATATTGGAAGGATAACCCTTGAAAAGCTGCACAGGTTTGTCACTGGTTAATCGAGCATCCCAACATTTTATTGTGCTATCGGTACATGACGAATATACAATGTCACAAGAATTTGCAAATTTGACACCATTAAGATGTCCAGGATGTCCACTAAATTCTCGTACTATGTTTAACCTTTCTTTATCATATATTCTGATTAACCCATTAGAACATAAAACAGCAACCAAGCTCCCTTTTTCTGCTGGTACAGTCTTGGATGTGTCTATGCCAAGCAGATAAGTAGGCTCTTCAGTTCCTGAGGAACGTTTAACAATGTTCAGATTAGCAAATTGCTCTTCAATCTTCTCCATAGCAGGAGTGGCATCTAAGGGTAGTAAATATCTGTAATAAAAATATAAAAATTAAAATTAAATCCACAGCTTCTCTAAAATTGTTAATTAAATCAAGAACATTTCCTTCTGAAGGATGACATAAAACAGAAATAAAATCGATTTTAATATTGTAATCATTTCCCTACCATGATGTAACTAAAAATAAGTTACCTCCTTCTAATTCTCTCTTGAACACCAAATCTACTACTTTATGCCAGTAAGAGAGTTTACAAACATGTACATACACTGCTGAGTAATTGGTTTTTAGCTCAAACCCAACTATTGGTCCTATTCATATTCCTCAGCATTAGTCAGGATCTCTACTTTGGATTCATCTACACCTGGTCCCAGCTGCCTTATACAACTTTTGAACCTAAAATAAGTGTGTATGCAGAAAAATGGTCGCCCCAAAGAGATCTATACCTTAATCCCTGGAACCTGGAACTATGTTCGGTTACATGGCAAAAGGGAATTGAGCCTAGCCAGTGTGGCTCAGTGGCTGGGCGTCGACCCATGAACCAAGAGGTCATGGGTTCAATTCCTAGGCACATGGCCCAGGTTGTGGGCTCAATCCCCAGTAGGGGTCATGCAGGAAGCAGCCAACTGATGCTTCTCTCATTGATGTTTTTCTCTCTCTATTCCTTTCCCTTCCTCTCTCTCTAAAAATGAATAAAAACAGCTCTAGCTGATTTGGCTTAGTGGATATAGCATCGGCCCTCAGACTAAAGGGTCCTGGGTTTGATTCCAGTCAAGGAGATATACCTCAGTTGAAGCCTCAATTGGGAATCAATCAATCAATCAATCAATCAATGTGTCTCTCTCACATTGATGTTTCTCTCTGTCCCTCCTCCTCCCTTCCCCTCTCACTAGGAAACAATGGAAAAATATCCTCAGATGAGGATTAATAACAACAAAATCAATAAAAATATATTTTTTTTTAAAAAAGGGGAAATTGAGGTTGCAGATGGAATTAAGGTTACTAATTGGTCGACTTTAAACGGGAGAGATTAGCTCTGGCCAGGGTGGCCCAGTTGGTAGGGCTTCGTCCTGTGCACCATGACGTTGCAGTTAAGATTCTGGTCAGGGCACATGCCTGGGTTACGTGCTTGATCCCCAGGAGAGGGTGTGCAGGAAGCAGCTGATTAATGTTTCTCCCTGTCTCTCTCCCTTCCCCTCTGTCTCTAAAACTCAATTTAAAAAAAATCTCCCTTTAAAAAAATAAATAAAAGGGGGAGATTATACTGGATTATCTTGGTGGGCCCAATGTAAGCAATCACCAGTATCCTTTTAAATCCATGGAGCAGAAGATAGAGTCAGAGGGAGATGTTACTATGGGAGAAAGGCACAGAGAGAGACATTGCAAAGGAGGTCAATTAGTGGGTAAATGTTGCCAAAACCGGTTTGAGTGGATAGAGCGTCGGCCTGTGGACTGACAGGTCCCGGGTTCAATTCCGGTCAAGGGCATGTACCTGGGTTACAGGCACATCCCCGGTAGGAGATGTGCAGGAGGCAGCTGGTCGATGTTTCTCTCTCATCGATGTTTCTGACTCTCTGTCTCTCTCCCTTCCTCTCTGTAAAAAATCAATAAAATATATTTAAAAAAAAAATAAGTGGGTAAATGTTAATATGAGATTATTTTTTTAAAACCCACAATTCTTTGCTACTGCTTCCATCTGATCTCTACATATGGAAAATCAGACTAATGAGAATTTTAAACAATAAGATAGTTTAATGTGGCCTTTAAGCTAATAGTAACTTATAGGACCATGCCTATGAACTGTTATACTCAAGCAGGACAGTAGTACTAGACTCCTTCCCTTCATTTTGTTGCCTGGAAAGTGTTTCACATTGAAACAGTCCTGCAAGACTTTAATTCAAAGGATTCTGGTGACTGATGAGGCAGGACCCCAGACAGAATGGCACAGCAAACTAGCACTTCAGGACTGTAGCAATGGTAACAATCACAATGGATGTCCACGTGACACACTGCTTAAATGAAGTACAGAAAGAGAGAAAAAGAAATAAACAAACAAGATGTCAGAGGTAAGGAGGGTATGTCCCCCAATACTCAAACTATAGAGCTTATATTCTTCCACAGATACATTTTAATCTCTTATGGGGAAACACGAAAACTTCTAGCCTATGTTTAAACGCATTAGTATGCAAGTGAGTAATATCTGAACTAAAATTTCCAAGGCCATATAGTTAATGCTTAATTTTACATACTAGTGAATCATTCAAAAATGATGAATACACTTTTACTTCTATGTATAGCCCTCATCTGAGTTTTACTTGCATGATCCACTTCCCAGTGTGCAAGAGAAGCCATAGGCTGTCTTTTCTTCTCACTACACTCTCACGGGGTAACCTCATTCATATTCATGTTTTCAAGTGCCACCTATATGCCAATGATCTCATCTCTCTATTTAAAAATCCTGTTTACAAATCTCTACTAGACATTCATTTCTCCTTGAACATGTCCCCCTACACCACAAAATAAACTCATTACTTATGCTCCCCCTCCCCCCAAGCCTTCCCTTAACAAAGCAAATAAAAAAGTAAACTTCTCAATTTTTTCCATTTTGGTAACTTTCCAAATCCTACTTATAGCTAAAGGTTGCTTAGAGAAGTATTAGGTTAAATCTGTGTCTGTGGGTCAAGAAAATATTGACAACTTCTTATGGTTCAACCTGACAAAAACATATGCAGAGAGCAAATAAGAGTAACCATAATTTTTATCTTACTTTTTCTTTGTTAGATGTATTACGAAAAGCTTAGTTAGCATTCTAGATCTCAACAGGTTAGTGAGAGATGAGGACATGGGGAACGCCTTTCTTCTGTCCACACACACACACACACAGGCACACACGCACACACACACACACAGTAAAAAGGATACAAAAAGATGTGGACAGAAAAGAGTACTAATGCTGAGTAGAAGAGGAGAAAAGAAGAGAAATGAAGATAATCTAAAAGAGAATGAATAAAAAAGAAAGGGGAATTACTGCCACTACCTCCTTAATTATATGTGGGTGAAACACTGCAGTTCTTACTGCCCCAACACTGAGTTCAGACAATGAGGCCCAGATAAAGGAAGTTTAGTAAAGAATAAAGCTATGATAGTTTGCTCGGTTAAAAGGAATTTTTCTTCATGAAAATAAATTCCTTGTCCTTGAAGTAGAGAATGTAGCAAGCAATCATAACCAATTTAAATATGAACCCAATTGTTCTGAGAATGGAGGCAGAAAAATTCTCTCATCCTGACCCACCTAGTGCAGATCAGGACATAGCAGAACCTCAAGCAGTGCCCTGGCACTGAGCCACGACGGCTGCTGTGGTTCTTACTGGGATACACAATTCCCATGTCTGAATATAATGCAGATGTGAGATGTTAGAAAGACACCCTAAAACAAACACCTTAGGATAACCTTCAAGAGGGTGAGGATATTCCTGGTGAACCGCCATCTTGTAATACACTAGATAGAAATTACTAACCTTTTATCTGAATAACTGTCCTTATATAATTAAAAGTTGATTACCTAATAGCAAGTTCCTAAACATAATTATGAATTCCTCTTGTGGCTTTGGCTTTAAAAACATTTGTTATTTTTTATCAATCAAAATGTTATTTTACTTCCTATTAAAATAAACCCAGTAAAATATTCTTTCTGAATATAAAGTACATCCTAAACACATCTAGCTGCAACTAAGTATTGCTCTTATTGCTGAACTGGCTAAGTTTGAATATGAAGTCTGAAGGACAAACTAGCTTAAATAATTCCATAATGAATAAGGAAGTAGCTTTTCCCCCACATAAATAAGGGACAAAAAAGCATTAAAAGAAAATAACATACACTTTACACCTATTTAGAAACTACTGATTACAAAAGGCACAATAATAAAAGTCTCCTACATATTATTTTATAAAATCAGAAATGAGCAGTATTCTTAGAAATAGGTATATTTCTACTTTTCAGGCATAAAGGTTCACCATACTTGAAAGAGTTGACAGCATAAGCATCATACACAATTATATTTTTAAACTACTGAGATAATTTATTAGACTTGGGCCAAAAAACCTAATTACCCACAGCTAAAACTTAATATTGCCCATTGACCATAAGAAACTAGCTATGATGATTGTGAAAGGCAGAGGTCCAGCAAATGTCACAAATGTAGGAGATAGTTAATGGGAAAAGACATTCAGGGATGGGCTCTAATAACTTCACAATCCGCACTTATAACTCAACTATAATAATGCTACCATGTCTATCAGACTGGGCTAGGATAATTGAGCCTCACAGAGAAGAAAATAACCATAATTGGAGTTCAACAAATGCTAGGCTATATGCTAGAAACTTATTTAATATTTTTATCCTAATCATTTAACCCTATGAGATAGGTATTGTTATCCCCATCTTAGAGAAGAAATTGCAGTTCAGAGAAACGGGGTAACTTGCAGTGATCTCATAACTACTAATGGGAGGACACAGGGGAATCTGGTTTGAAACCCAAGCTGTAACTTCAAAACCTGTGAAGCTGTGTCCATTCCAATACCATGCTATTGCTCTTCTATGTAAGTACTAAAGTATTAGTGTCAACTTTAATTAAGGTATATCCATATTAGGCTTTGAGAGGAAGAATTATATGTTAATTCTACATATAAGCAGAGAAGAAATTGAGCAGGATGATTGGAAAAACACCAAACTAGAAAAATGTTGCCATAAGCAACCATCACTCTATTTTCTTGTGCCCCATTTAGCTTTCTTTTAAACTTTTTATTATGGAATTTGTATGAAGCAGAGAATAGTAAAAGAAACCCCCATGCTTCCATCATCCTGTTTGAAGAATTATATTCCACAAGACAGGAAGTCAATTATACATCCCATTAAAAAAATTTTTTATTGATTTCAGAGAGGATGGGAGAGAGGGGTGGGGGATGGAAACATCAATGATCGGTTGCCTCCTGCACATCCCCTACTGGGAATCGAGCCTGAAACCTGGGCATGT